GGAAAAATAAAAGCATTTCCAGTTTATTCGTTATACCAACTAAGTTCCATTGGCTTGAGAACGCACAGGCAATATTTTATTGTACGTAGGATTTTTGTTAAAAGAGTAGATGTTGTGTGCTTTTGGCAAATAAAGGAGGGCAGTTATGTGAGCTGATGGATATGTTGATTTTCTTGATTATAGTAAACATTTCCTTATGTAAATCTGCAGCAAAACAACTTACTGTACATCTCACTGTATACAATAAAAATGTGCACATACATTTCTGCCTTCAGATGCTGTGAAACTGTTCGTGCTGTGGATTTGCTCATACTTTAGTTAGGTTACCTCATCTCTGTCACTGTCCAGCTTCTCCAACTTCCTTTGTCCTGATGGAATACTACTTCACAGTGAAAAGATTCCACTCTTGACAATGACAGTGACACTGACGGATCCCAGATAAGCCCCATGAAGTAGGAGGAGCAAGACTCAAAGACTGCGTAAGCCATGTGTCTTTCAAAGGCCAAACAGCATGGACAGGAGTGTGTGGTTTCCAGGGAAGTGGTGGCAGATGGGTTAAACACAAAGTCTTGGGTTTTTATTTAGATGAGGGAAATGCCCCAAATCTTGTCTGTTGTAGTGGTTACAGCACCAGACACACTTGACCAGATTCTTATAAATAAACCCCCAAAGGCACGGATCTTCCTGTTTGTTAGTTATGCATTAATTAGACGATCAATGGAAAACAAACAATACAAAAACACCCACGATACTGGACCCGCTCAGCGAGGTCCCGGGGGCAGTGTAGTCGCCCCTTTCGTAGGAGAGCTGGATGAGAGCTGCAGGTGCTCTGGGAGGAGGTGATTCAGCGAGCGCCACTCCCTACAATCCCCCAGGATTGGGCCCTCCAATCCCAACAGGATGTATTTTAAGGGACAACAATGAGTTTTGGGGCACTTAGAATAGGTGATAGCTTCAAGAGTTGAATCAAGTTCTTGGCTCCAAATTAGTGTTTCCCCCCCATGTTCTTTGGAAAACATGGAATCCTTTGAGCAGTATCTATGTGGGAAACTTTTCCAATATGACTTTTGCATTATTCCTTGGTTGCATTTCTGATCTTAGGTTTTCTCTGTAGGATTCATTACCCTTCTCCAGCAGCAAGGTAAGCTTCTGTATTCCATACATTCAATTAAGTCTTCAAAAGCCATTTCATTGTGGACCAATGGCATATAGATAACCAAGCATACATTTTTAATTCATGCAAAAGCAGAGTGACAGCTACAATACTCTGTGCTATTTGAGCTCAGAAATACATGTTCTGAATATTTCTTGTGGAGCTGTGAGTTGAGTCTGGCATTGTGAATGTCAAGACTTCCAGTAGCGGGAAATGTAGTGATCCTTAGGAAAGAAGATGAACAAAAATAAGATAGCTAATGCTCTGATTAAAATTTGTTGCTGTTTGTTTGTTGAAACAGGGTCTCATATGTAGTCCAGACTGGCCTTGAACTCGCTATGTAGTCCAGTCCCGTATGTAGTTGAACTCAGGATAATCCTCCTGCCTCAGCCATCACACCTGTTTGTTTACTGTCATTCTTCTACTGGAAGTGAAACAGGAAGACATAGAAACAGTAGTGTAAATAGATAGTTCTTTAAATTACTAAGGGAACTACAAAAGTTAGCCAGATCTGAACTGCATTTTAACCTTTTCTCTGTCCCCTGTCCCTCTGATCACTAGCACATCTGACCACACTGCCTGGTGGTGAATAATGGTGAATAGTGCAAACTGTGACTGGGTTAAAGCTGGCTCAATCTGGAATCTTGGGTGTTTTCTCATGAGTTGTGTATTTGCTGAATTACCACCTAGGGTTTCAACTCTCAAATTAATGTAATTATAAGCAATAGTACCTATCACACATGTTCACACCTGTATGTCCAAAGCTCTTAATGCGAGTTGTAGAACAGTCTTTTCCAGAAGTGGCTATGAAGGCCAGGGACTTAGCTCAGTGGTTCCACCTCCTGCCTGGCAAGCACAAGAACCTGAGTTCGATCCCCAGTACCAAAAAACAAACAAACAAACAAACAAACAAACACCAGAAGTAGTTAAGAACATTCAGGATGGCAAATATGAGGCTTGGAGGGGCTAAGCTCGTAGACTGCAGTGTGAAAGCCGATAGAGGATGGTACGGTAGTTAGCAGAGGATGGGGGCCTTTTCCTTTTAAAAGTCTTCTTCCTGCACAAGCACTAACTCGAAATAATAGTTTTTCAAGTAGAGCTTTCCACTAAATAAGAGTCTCTGGCAGAAGGTAACCCATGAACAATGCACTTTAAGTCCCAAGTAACTATATTCAGCCAAGGTGTGGAAATTATAAGGGAAAGAATGAGTTTAAGATGAGAACTCTTTTAAGCCAGGCTAAGATGTGGACTTCAAGAAATTAAACGCACGAGATGCTCAGCTGAGCAGCCGATCACGTGGGTGGATCAAGGACAATGGGAATAGTAACTGCTCATCTCAGTGCTGCTTGTGTGAGAGAAGCAAACTGAAGGCAGGCTGCTGACCCACACTGCTGACCCACATTGGCAACAGTCACATTTAGCAGGCTCTGAGACCATTATTCCACCCCGACATCCCATCACTGCCAACACTCACCAGGCTGGACTTCACATCCGGTACTTTATTCCTAGTTTTAAAAATGTGTTACTTTATTGATCTCAAAAATAATACTTGGACAGTAGGTCTCATCGGCAGTTTCATTTTGCAGATGGAATAATTGAGGCTCGGCAAAGTTGGGGGAGACCAGTCGCACGCGCAGGGGTGGAGCCATTTGCGTTTCCTCCTAGAGCAACAACCCTGTGGCCGATTTGCATCTTTCTCTTAGAACTGTCTCCGATGGCTGAGCTTGCCCCAGAACCCCGGTTATCCTAAACTAGATGGGTTTTCTCTCCTTCAACTTTGAAGGGATGGTCTTGCAGAATGTAGTAATCTAGGTTGTAGGGGCTGAAAATTTCGTTGCAAGCTCTCCTGGCCTTTAATGTTTCTGTTGAGAGTTGGTAATTATTCTTATGGGTTTGCTCCTGTGAGTTATTTGGTGTGTCTTCCAACAGCTTTTAATAGTTTCTTTGCTCTGGATTTCTGAATTTCAACTGTGTTGTGTCATAGAATGATCCACTCTGGTCGTGTGTATTTGGGGGTTCCAAAATGCCTCCTTTATCTGAGTATCCGCCTCAACCTTCAGCTTTGTGAAATTTCCTGCAATAATTTCAGTGAATGTATTTTTAAAGCCATTAGTCCGTATGTAATTTATTGCCTTATTTTGGCCAAAGAACCTTAGGTTATTTCTTTTGGGTTTATCCAAGAATTTTTGTACCATCCATTCAGTGCTGCTTGCTCCTTTTTTTCTTTGAGTCTGTCTGAAAGTTCCAGCAGCGCTGGTCTTTCTTCTGACAGATCTTTTCTATGCCTACACTTTCACTGCAGTTTTTATTTGATTTCTGCCTGGTCCTTTTCCAGAATCTCCGTGACTTTGCTGAAGTTGTCTTTCACACCTTGCATTGTTTTCCCTAATTCATTCAACTGCATGTTTGTCTGTTCTTTGATTATTATTTGATCCTAGCAGAGAAGGTCAGCTGCTTGTATGGCTCTCCCTTGATGTTACTAGTCATTTTCACTATCTGCTTTAAAATATTTGTCTGGAGTTTCATCCACTTCAATATCTGAGGGCTCAGCTTTTGGGAAGCTTCTGTATTTTTGGAAGCCTCTGGATTGCGGCTTCTGTGAGATCCACAGTTGGGAGCACTCTCCTGTTCTTTTTCGAGCTCTGACCCTGTCTGGTCAGGGAGCCCCCTGGCTGGGCTGGCCCTGAGCATCGTGAGGCCTGGGGTGAGCACCGTCCGGCTTCCGTGCTCCTGGCTTCTTCCCCTAAAAGGTGCTGTGTGTTTCCCGGCATAGCTTGGTCCCAGCCCTCATCCGGGAGCCCATCCTGTGAATGAGGAAATACTTCCGTTAATATCTCAGGTTCTGTCTGGGCTGTGTCCTGGTGGGAGAACCTCGTGTCTCAAATAGCGCTGAGGATTATTTTATTTAGTTCTCAAAATTACAGCTGTGGGTAGGTCTTACCAGTACTTTCATTTTCCAGATGGGATGAAGGAGGCTATGCAAGGAATGGTATTGGGTGAGCATCAAGCTACTGCCGCCCCTGGGCTTCTTTTCACCGAGGTTTCTCTTCACTTCACGAATGGCTCCATCTTCAAACTGTGCCGGGAGCAGTGCCCGGTTTGGTGGTGGTTTCACTTCGTAATCGGGCTTCTCCTTCTTTATTTCACCCACTGGCTCTGAAGTTTAAGCTGTGTGCCAGTGGATGGTGTGTCCACTGCCTCGTGGCGTCATCCCTGGCTGACCTTCGTCGCACCCTGGGCCATCTGTAATTTAATTGCTGCTTCTCTCTGCTGCTGCATTGATCCAGAGCCCTGCATTCAGTTCTGCATGAAGCAAATAACCGCAACAGTGAATGATGCTCATCCTATGGTGCTGTGGGGCCTTACAATTTATCCCTCCTGACTGTGTTTTTGGTTCTCTCTACCCAGACTTTCTTCTCCCTCCTGGTCTCTAGTAATCACATTAAAATAAACATTTTTAGCTTCCATATAAGAGTAAGATCACGTGTCTGACTTACTTCACTCACTGTAATGTTTTCAGTTCCACCTGTTTTTCTGTAAAGGACACTTCCTTTGGTCACGTACCCCTATGTAGGAATGCTTAATCCATGAAGGATCCAGTTTTAATTTTCAGAGCCTCTTTCACACTGTTTTCCATAATGGGTGCTTTCACTTACTTTCTGACCAGCAGTGCGTGTGTTACTTTTTCTTAACATCATTATCAGCATTTGTTATTTTTAATAATAGCCATTCTAACTGGGGTCATATGAAATCTCAGAGTGGGTTAGACTTGGCTAAGTATCTGCTTTGTGTCTTACTCCATTTATTCCTCATTGCTATAGGACATCTCACGGTTTCCAACCAATTGATGGGGAACTGCACAGAAGTGACAGAGTTTGTCCTCCAAGGGTTAACTGACTCCCCAGAGCTGCAGACCCCTCTCTTTATCGTGTTTACTCTCATTTACCTCATCAATGTGGCTGGAAACCTAGGAATGGTTGTGCTGATCCTGCTGGACCCTCGTCTGCACACCCCCATGTACTTCTTCCTTAGTAACCTGTCCCTGGTGGATGTTGGTTACTCCTCAGCCATCACTCCCACAGTCATGGCTGAGCTCCTCACAGGAAACAAGGTCGTCTCCTACAATGCCTGTGCTGCTCAGATGTTCTTTTTTGTAGCCTTTGCCACTGTGGAAAATTACCTCTTGGCCTCCATGGCCTACGACCGCTATACAGCAGTGTGCAAGCCCCTGCACTACACCTCCACCATGACCACAGGTGTGTGTGATTGTCTGGCCACAGCCTCCTACATCTGTGGTTTCCTGAATGCCATTTTTCACATCGGGGAAATATTCAGTCTCTCATTTGGTATATCCAATGTGGTCCATCACTTTTTCTGTGATATTCCAGCAGTCGTGGCTCTGTCTTGCTCTGATACACATATCAGTGAAACCATTCTGGTTTTTATGTCAAGCTTTAATGTCTTTTTTGCTCTTCTGGTTATCTTGACCTCCTATTTTTCATATTTATCACCGTCTTGAAAATGCATTCAGATCAGGGACACCAGAGGGCTCTGTCCACCTGTGCCTCTCAGCTCACCACAGTCTCCATCTTCTATGGGACGGCCATCTTCATGTACCTGCAGCCCAGCTCCAGTCACTCCATGGACACTGACAAAATGGCGTCCGTGTTCTACACCATGGTGATCCCCATGCTGAACCCACTGGTCTACAGCCTGAGGAACAAGGAGGTCAAGAGGGCGTTCAAGAAGCTGATTGAGAAAGCAACAATTTCTACATAAGGATGGCATTTTTAGCTTTGTATTGTGTATACTTATCTTAATTCATTGTTCTCAGGCATTCCTGCAGTGAGTTATATTTAAGCTGCACAATGCATAGACATTTCTAAGTTAATATCTTTGCACCTTTGGAAATCTGTAGTGTAATAAAAAGAAAACATTTCAGAAATGTAACATCTATATAAGCAAGGCCTAGATGAATTGTTAGAAGTTTTGGGACTTGCTTGTGAAATCTTCATAGTGAAGTTTAGCTTATTTATTGGTTCTATTTATATTTTTCCCCAACACATTTTAAAACAAGCATCCATGTTAAACAGGAAACAAACATATATGTACCCCTTGTGGGCACATACACATCGGAGTGGGAAGTTTATCAGAGGTAAATAGAGTATGACTATTTTTTTTAATAAAAATAATCCAAACAATTAATTGGAATTTACCTATTTTTATTATCTAAATAACCACAACGATGGCGTGAAGGTATCTGACATATACCCTTTTTCTTCACTTCCCCCATTAGCAGTACAATATCCCCCCACACAGTGGGACGTTCACCATAACAGACGAGATACATCACCCCAAGACTCTTATCTATGCTGGGATTCACTATGGCTGTTGAATATATTTTATCAGTCTAGACAAACATTCAAGGTGTGATAAAAATATAGTGAATGCTTAAAATTTTTTAGAGTAGAAGACACATAGCCATGATCACCCTCAGAATACTGCTCGGTTCACACTTGCCCCATCCTGCACCCTTTTCTGGAGCAGTTCTGTAAATCCTCTTTCATATGTGTTTACCTGTTGTGGTGGCGGCTTCACTGTCCTGAATCACTTCAAAATGTTTCCCTTTCATGGTCATTTTGGTTTGGGAAAAGAGCCAGAAATTGCACAGTACTAGACCTGGTGAATAAGGTGAGTGAAGGCACACCATAATGTTTTTATTGGACAGAAATTGCTGTAAAATTTCTAAATCATTTTGGATTGATTTGGAACATCAAAGCAACCACAAAAAGATTCTCACTGAATTAGGAGGTCCTGAACTGCTTCAGAAAAGAAAAAATAAGGGGACAAGTGCATTCAAAGCAAGGGGAAATATTTTGAGGGGGGTTAGCAGCCATGTATCTTTTACTGTAATTTTTTGAAAATTTAAATATTCACCACGTATTTAGAGGCCCCTCATAAGACATGAGCCCCTCATTATAGCACTGCTGTTTCACTGCTCTAAAAACTTTGTGCCTTCTTCCTATTCATTGCTTCCTCTCCCTTTGCCCCTGGTAACAACTGATGGATTTATTTCCAATTTTGCCTTTTCCAGAAAGCTGGAGAGTTGGAATCAGAGAGTAGTGGCTCGATTTTACATTGCGTTCTCTCTCTTAGCAATATGCATTTGTTTCCTCATGGTCTTTCATAGCTTAACAGCAGCTCATTTAGCTTCAGCTCTGAGTAATCTCGCATTGCCTGCATGTGACTCATGTTCTTTGTTCCCCCACGGAAGGAGGTTTTGGTTGATTCCAAGTTTTGACAGTCGTGAGTAAAGCTTTTGGAAACATCTATGTCTTAACATTTTTCTTTGACATCACTGGATTTTCTGCTTATTTGCACTAACTCAACACTGCACATGTGCTCTGAGTGAGATGTTCTTCAGTGCCTCAGCCTCAATTGCTTATGTTGTCTGTTTTTATTGACTGTTTCATTACAAGAATACCAGGTAGGGCAGCGGATTTAATTCTGTGGTGTTGCACCTGCCTTGCAAGTTCAAGGTCCTGAGTTTGATCCCCAGTAGCCCACCCCTCCCCCCAAAATAATAAGAATAACAGGTAAAAACAAAAATACTTACAATTGCTGGATTATCTGGTGATTCTTTTGTTAGATATTTGAGGAGCTTCCTTACAGTTGTGCATTCCCACCAACACCAGCACTTCACAGATCTGATTTCTCTGAATCCTCAACAATCCTGATTACCTTTAAAAAATAATATGTATCCCAGGTACAAAAGCATAGCTGCTCATGGTTTGGTTTTCATTCCCCTCATGATTAGAGATGGTGAACGTCTTTCTGTAGACCTATTTTCCGTTTGTTGTCTTCTTTGAAGAAATGTTCATTTCAGTGCTTTGCTTATTTTAAAATTGGGTTATTTGGGGCCGGGGGTTTAGCTCAGTCATTCCACCACCTTTCTCGCAGGTACAATGTCCTGAGTTCAATCCCCAGTACCCACTGTCCCCCCTCCAAAAAAAATTTGGTAATTTGTTCTTATGCTATGGAGTTGTAGGACTTCCTTATATATACTTTTTATTGATCCCCTATCACATAAATGGCTGCAAATATTTTCTCTCATTCCATGGATTGCTTCTTTACTGATTGCTTCCTTTGCCATACTGAAGCTTTTTAGTTTGAATAATCTCACTTGTTTAATTTTTGTTTCTGTTCTTGTGCCTGTTGTTTTGGCACAAAAAAGAAGAAGCCATCACCAAGCACACTGACATGTTCTTCCACTGTTTTCTTCAACTTTGATCAAGTCTAGTTCATCTATTTTTTCTTTTGTTGATCATTCATTCGATGTCAAATCCAAGGCCATATTTCCTTCTGTTTTATGGCTTTTAATTAATATTTATGTTATTAACACACTTTGAACTGATCATCTTCGGTGTGTAATAGGATCTAATTTTACTTTCTTATATATGCATAACCATTTGTCGAAATATCATTTTTTGAAGAAACTATTCTTTCCCTCTGTAAATAGATGTGGAGTCAAGACAAAAGTCATCTCATTAGTGATGTATTTTTTTAGGCTCCTGTTTCGAGTCCATTATTATTTATGTAGTTAATATAGAATACTACACCTGTATGTGTAATAAATTTTGAGATCGGAAGACAAATCCTTCTAATTTATTATTATTAGGTTTACAATTGTCTTGGTTTCAGGGCACCTTGACACCCCACATGAACTTCTGCAGTTCTTAGTTCTGCTCACAGGCCACTGGGGACTCTGATTGGAATCCCCTTAAATCTTTAGATCACCATAAAATATTGTCATTGAAAAAGATTAAGTCTTTAAATTAATGAACCAGGCATGTCTTTACATTTATTGAAATTTCTGGAAAATGTTGAGTTTCTAAATGTAGACCTTCTATACCCGTGGTTAATTTAATGTAATTTAGATACTACTATAAATGGAATGCTTTTCTTACTTTTTTTTTTTTTTGGTTCATTGCTAACATATAAACATATGGCTGATTTTGTTTCATGATCTTGAATCTCTTTGCTGCATAAATATATTAGCTAGCAGATGTTTTGTATATTCTTTAGGATTTGTTTTACATAAGACCACATCATCTGAAAACATAGTTTTATTTCTTTTCCAATTTTGATAGATGTTATTTCGTTTTTCATGACTATTGCTAGTTATACATCTAGTATAATTTTAAACATGGGGGCGGAATTAGAAATATTTATTTTCTACCTGTTTTAGATGGAAAGATTTCAGCCTTTCACTTTTGAATATTATTTGTTGTGGGTTTTTAACAACAAATTCTCTTTTTCAAGGTGAAGAATTTCACTTTTTTTACTAGTTATGTGCATGTTTTGATTTTGTACTTTACGTGTTTTGTATGGTGCTGGGGATCAAACTAGAGTATTGTGAGAAAAGCATGATCACTACCCATTTGTCTTCAGTGCATGTGTGTAACATTTGTATGAGCGCCTTTTCTGGGTAATGAGCAGATCCTGCAGGCTTTTCTCTCTCTCATTCTATTAAAGAGGTTTGGGAGAGTTACATCAGAAACACCAAAGAACAAAAAGCCTCAGCCCCCATCCACCCACAGAAAGGCCGATTTAACAACTACATGTGTATGAGAATTCCATAATTGAGTCAAACTGCAGAATCGAGGTGAGCACAAACCGAATGGCACATTCCCATGAACAGGAAGAGCTGTTGCACTTCACTTGTGTAAGCTTTCTCCTGAGCCAGAACAGCCTGGCTCTAGCACAGTCATCCTGGCCCAGGGGAAGAAGGTGGAATCAGAGTGCCTGTCCTCCAGTGCACCACCTGGGAGCAGGAGTGGGTGTCTCCTACTGGCTGCATGATTGTGAGGGGCTGAGAAAAGGTGCATAATCCTCCAGTTTCTCCTTCAGGGAGAAAGGAAAGGAACTGAGCCAGCACACAGCTGACCATTATACTCAGTGAACTAAGTCAGTCATGGGTGATGAATGGCTCCCAGCCCCAACTCTCAGCTCACAGCCACATTTAGAACAGAGCAGAGTGGTCGCTGACAGGTCCTGGTTGGAGAGGGAGACCAGGAGTTGCTTTTAACCAGCAAAAAGTTTCAGTTAAGTAAGACGAAAAGCTTTGCCTCTGTCATTTTCCTACACACACCTATATTAGTTCATGATTTCCTTTTACTGCTTCCTTTTTGGCTTAATTTGTGGTGGTACACCTTTGATTCTCTTCTCATGCCCATTTTAATTCCACATTAGCTCTCTCAGTGATGATGAAAATTGAGTTGATGTCAAAGCTTATAAATACAGTTTTACTAATACTAAAGTAATTCCTACAGTATATAAAACCCTGCTCCTACAGTAATATCACCTTCCGTTAGTTTGTCATGATTACAAGTTACATCTTCATATGTTTTGTACCCATTAACATAAGTTTATAATGAATATTTTATGCATTTATATTTTAAATAACAAGAAGAGTAGGGAAGCAATGCAGCAAAAATACAATATTTCTGGCTTTTATTATTTAGCTATATAGTCTTCTCTATCAGTTTTCTTTATTTCTCCAAGTATTTTGTAATTATTTTCTGGGTGCTTTATTTCAACCTAAAATAATTTAAAATAACTTAAAAGCATTTTTAAGTTTTTATAAGTAAAGACTACTAATGGTCAACTTTCAACTTTAATTTATATGAAAACATCTTTTTTTTTTGCTTGTGATTGTTGAAGTTTTGCTCAATGTAGAATTCTCAGTTGATAGCTTTTTCTTTCAATAATTTATAGAG